TTCATACTTTTAGAAGGAAAGTTCAAGGTGAATATATCCAAGAGCTCTTAAATAGCATCAAATTCAAATAGTACCTCCCACCTGCTACATCATCCACCACCCGCAAAACCCACAGGAAGAGATTCATGAAATTTACTACATTCAGATGCAAATAAACAAAAATGAACAGAGAGAAAAGTAAGCCTACAGTTCTGGGAATGTTATTTACAATGTGTGTAACCCACAAAGGACAAGAATTTCAGGACAAATGAAATTGAAAAATAAGAAAAAGGGGCAGGAGGGATAATACATCAGGTAGTGTGTTTGCTTTATGCGAGGATGATCCAGGTTCAACCCCCAGCATCCATTATAGTCCCCTGTGCACCACTAGGAATGATCCTTGAGTGCAGAACTAGGAGTGAGCACTGAGCACCACCAGGTGTGGCCCAAAAAAAGACAAAAAAAATAAAAATCATTGAAACAACAGAATGGTCTCACGATCCCCTATAGGCACTGGATAGGGGGGAAGATGGAAGGTATCACCAGAGAATTCTCTCCCAGTAGGGGAAAGAACAAAGCCACACCATAGTGAAAGCACACAGTTCCTTGAGAGATGTCCCAATGGAATCTCTCACCTGTTAGGGGAAAGTGGATTGGGAAGCAGTTATCCTGCCAGGAAAGTTTGTGCGGGAATGCTCAGGAGCAGAAACAGCTTTTTGCTGGCTCCTTAAACTTTATCAACCTACAGGGCTAAGTGAGCTTGGAGCAGTATGAGTGTCCAAAGTGTCCATTCAGACACACTGTTAGAGAGGATGAAATCCAGCCCCCAACACCACACAGTGTATCTGGAAGTTATAATTTTATGTTTTTAAGATGTTTTAAAGTAATATGGGGTTACATACAGGAAAAGCCATGAATACAGAACTTTAAAGCATGCAAGACAAGATCTATATCAATTACATCAGTGGTAAAACATAAAGGCAGGCTTTGGGCTACAGTGCTACACCAAGTTATCTGATGGTTTAAGGTTTCTGGGTGGGGGAGCACATAATGCCTTAGATTGTATTTTTTAAAACAACAACATAACTAAAGAAACATGAAATAAGAGATATTGTTAAAATTTAGCAGAGCTAAGTATGTGATAACACCTAATGTCATTATCATATATATATTTACTGGCTCCTTAAAGTTTATTACAATAATTTTAATATCGCTGGGTGAAAGCAAGTCTCCTTCCTCTACACCTCCAAAGTCCACTCATACTGTACTCCCCAAATGAGGGTTTCTTGGAGACAAAAACAGAATTCATTTAGCTCAACCAAGAACCAAGAACCTTCGCTATAATGATAGATAAAAAAAAAAAAATTTTTAAAGAACCAAAAACCGTCTTTCCGAAATCATGAAATTTACATACAAGTGGTTCTACATGGAAAGTATCATGTTAAGCAAAATGACTCAGAAAGAAAGGGATAGACATAGAAAGACTGCATTCACCTGGGGAACATAAAGTAACAAAATAGGAGACTAACATCCAAGAATGACCAAGATTAGTACCAGGAACTTTACTCCATGGCTTAGAGGCCAACCACACATACTAGGGAGAAACGGAGCTCAGATAGAGAAGGGAACACCAAATGAAGGTGTTGGGAGGATCCTCCCAGGATGGGAGAAGCATGCTGAAAATAGACTATAGACCAAACATGATTGTCATCCATTGCCTCTTTTGCAAACCACAACACCCAATAAGAGAGAGAGAACAAAAGGGAATGCCCTGCCACAGAGGCAGGGTGGGATGGGGGGATGGGGGGTGGGAGGGATACTGGGATCCGTGGTGGTGGGAAATGGGCACTGGTGGAGGGATGGGAATTTGATCATTGTATAACTGAAACCCAAGCACATAAATTTGTAAGTCTACAACTGTACCTCATGATATCTCACTAATAAAAAAAAATTTTTTAAAAAATAAACCGTTTTTCATAGAGATACCCCAGACTTCGGATGATTCACCAGGATGATTACACCTGAGAATCAGTCAAAGTGCATTTAAGAAAGACTATGCAGGTTGGAGCAATAGTACAGTAGGTAAGGTACTTGCCTTGAGTAAGGCTGACTTGGGTTTGATCCCCAGCATCCGATATGGTACCCCAAGCACTTCCAGGAGTGATTCCTGAGTGCAGAGCCAGGAGTAAGCCCTGAGCACAGCAGGATATTATCCAATAAAAATAAAAATAAAAATGTTCATTGCAGTATGTGGCATGGTTAGGTGTTAGTCTGACACAAATATCAACCTTTTTTTAACCCTTTAGCTGTGACTGGTGGGTGTCTGTTACCCTGATCTATGATTATGATAGGCAGGAGTCAGCTGAAGGGGACTCTGTGCCAAGGGTGGCATGGTTTTGGGGATCAGGCTTTTTGAATGACTACCCCTTCTGTAGTCATTCATAGGAGACAAGCTAGAGGGACAGAATATTTCTCAAGGGGTAGAGTATGTTTCCTATCATGCAAAGCCCGGAGTTCAATCCCTAATAGTGCATAACTCCCAATACCACATGGAGTTACATACACACACACACACACACACACATACACACACGCTATGGTACATCACAAAGAGGGCATGGACAGGCATTTGTATATCCATAATCATCAAGGAAACACAAATTAAACCAAAATTAAGCATTACCACACACTTACCAAAATAGCTAAAATAAAAAGACAAGAAAGGCTGAGTGTGGATGTGGATAGAGAGCACCTGGAACTACTGTGGGAGTATAAACTGGTAAGACTGTGTGAAAAAAAATGTTCAATACCCCTAAATCTGGACATAAAAATATAGTATACTTGATAATCCCCCTGGTAGGTATATCACTAAATAAATGCATAGTGCTGAGACTATGACTCACGTGGTGCCGTACATGCAATCCTGGGATCTTTCGTATTATTTTTTTGGGAGGCCACATCCGGCAATGCTCAGAGATTACTCCTGGCTCTAAGTTCAGGAATCACCCCTGACAGAGCAGGGGACCATATGGGATGTCAGGGATTGAACCCGGGTTGGCTTCCTGCAAGGCAGTTGTCCTTCCTATACACTCTACTGTTGCTCCGGCCCCTGCAGTCCTGGGTTCTATCCCAACCATCATATGCGTCTCCCTCCCTGAGCACAGCTAAGTTCAGTTCCCACAAAAATAAAGAGAAAAATGCATACACATGTTCATCAAAAGATAATTATAAGAAAGGAATCACTCTATTTTTGACAGCCATATATCACAAACAATCAAAATATTTCAAAAGTACATCAGAAATTAGCCAAATAATACCAACAATGACACCAGCCAATAGCCCATAGTGATAGACTCTAGGTATATAGAAAAGATTTCATCATTTTTTGTAGGGAAATACAAATCAAAACAACAATAAGATTTTATCTTGACAATCATCACTATTCCAGTGAGAATAGTATATGTCAAAAAAAAAAACTGGAAACAGAACAGAAATTCAGAAGGATCATCAGAGATTACTTTGGAAATCTTTATGCTATGAAACAGGAGAACCTACAAGAAGTGGCCACATCATTTTTGGAATCTAAACTTTAAGCTCATCCTCCCCCCTATATCCACTTCTTGGCATCTACCCCCAAAACGCAAAACTTGAAACTTGGCATATAAACACAATGGAATACCATGCAGGTATTTAAAAAAATAAAAAGATGAAATCTTGCAATTGACTGTAATATGAATGGAACTGCAGGGTGTTGGGGAACAGTTTTCCCCAACATGCCCATACACGGTGCACACTGGGTCCGAGCAGACATGGGGCGAAGGATGATGGGCACATGGAGAAACGTCCTCTGGGAGCAGCTGATGGCTGTTTACTTTATTACCAAATACACACATATTTTATAGAGGGTTTCAGAAGTTCCAATCACATGAAGTTTAGCATTTTTGGCCTATTTCCTCTCCTACTCTGCTTTGCCCCAGTACAATCCCAATCAAGCCTCGATGCTGCGGTTAGAATGGCTTGGTAAGCATACCTGACAGCTTCTGTGTCTTGGGCTCATGTGACTAGGAGGTCAAGTGAGGCTCAAGGCCGGACACCTGCTGCTGACTCCCTGTTCTTGCCAACTTTACCCAGACACTCCCTTCTGCAAGGCCTTGCTTCTGTGCCACTTTGCAAGGTCGGGTCTTATCTGCTCCAGTGCCCGTAGCCATGCTCCACAACAGGGTGTCCTATTAAACTAAGTTAGTCAGAGGACAAAGGACAAATGACATATGATCTCACTCATCTTTAGTATATAGAGAAACAAAACAAGGGGATAAACAATATTCAATGATGACAAAACCATGGCCTTGGACTACAAACTTAGTTTAGGAAGCTGGAGTGAGTGGTGGAGGGATGAAGAGGTTGTCTAGAATTAAGTATATGGGGGTAGAGTTTCAGGCACTTTGGTGATGCATTAACTGTACGTCAAAACCATACCATGTTGACACTATTCTTAAGCTTGTTACCCAAACAATAATGCCAACAATAATAAAAAACTGAATAAATAATCCATAGTAATACTCTTATAACATATATTCTACAATCCACCTTTAGCCAGCAAAAATAAGTAATATATGGCATCTGGATCTCAGAAACAAAATGTTGTGTAGAACAATCTAAAAGCAAAATATTATAATCTATATGTTCCCATTCATATAAGCTTTTAAAAGAAGCACAAACTCTGTTTCACCTAACAGAGTGAAAATACTCTAAGTGAGGGGTAACTGGCATGTAAAAAGTTTTCAGTGGGTTGATAATAGTCCATAAATTTCTTGATGCAAGTGGGGGTGGTTTATGACATATCCACTCAGTACAATTCAATCAAGCTTTCATGTAGAACCTGACTTTACCCTGTTATGTGCATTGTACCATAATAAAATTGTGACCTTTAAAACCCATGTTCTAGACAGCAGTTAGTAGCAGAACACTGTCACCCTAGAGAAAAGAGGAGCAGCCACTAGAGCACCCACTTGTGAGCCTACCTGAAGGGAGCTGGGCCAAGTATTTGAACACCATGAACAGGTTTCTCCGACAGATGGGGTTAGTGTCATCCATCAGGAAGGAAAGGGAAGCAATCACATCTTGTTCCAAAATACTCTCTCTGCAGAAAGATGATCAGATTAGACCCAACAAAGACAAAGAGCAATTGGCTCAAGTAAAATCCAAGAGGCTGTTCCCATGCCATCCCCACCCAGAGTCTGCAGACTACCATCCTCTGGCTCCCCTGAGAGAAGGCAATGGCCATGGGAGTTTAATAACCCTGTAGAATCCTTCAAGGTTGCAATAGCAATGGGATGTGGGTGGTGGTGGGAAAAAAAGAAACAATCTCAAAAACACAGAGCTCTGCACCTTCCTAGCTAAACCTCCAACTTGAGCTCTTCGTGCCCCTTGATGCTTCATACTGTCTCCTTCCTACTGTCTGTAAAAGGAGATAAGGTGTGGCCTCACATGACGGGTGAAAAGGCAGCTCAGATAGAGAAGAGACCACCAAATAAAGGATGCTTGGAGGGCCCGCTCGGAATGGGAGATGTGTTGAAGGTAGACTATAGACTGAACATGATGGCCACTTAAAGCCTGTATTGCAAACCACAACACCCAAAGGGAGAGATAGAGTGAAAAGGAATGCACCTGCCACAGAGGTGGGGAGGGGCGTAGGGTGGAAAGGACACTGGGAACATTGGTGGTGGAGAATGGGCACTGGTGGAGGGATGGGTACTCGATCATTGTATGACTGAAACGTAAGCATGAAAGTTTGTAAGTCTGTAACTGTACCTCATGGTGATCCATTAAAAAAAGAATAAATAAATAAATCACTGAGTATAAAAAAATTACAGATCTAAATAACCCCTCAGATTATAAAGTATTGTCACTGTCACTGTCCTTCCATTGTTCATCGATTTGCTCAAGCGGGCCCAGTAACATCTCCATCTTGAGACTTGTTGTTACAGTGTTTAGCATATCGAATACGTCACGGGTAGCTTTGCCATGCTGGCAAGATACTCTCAGTAGCTTGCTGGGCTCTCTGAGAGGGGCGGAGGAATCGAGCTCAGCTTGGCCTGGCTGGCTGTGCGCAAGGCAAACGCCCTACAGCCCCTATAAAGTATTAAGACCATTTAAATGCAGAGAATGTTAATCTCTGCCCCCACCACCTCTGTTGAAATGGATCTATGGCCAAGGTAAAGTTATTTTGGAAACCACAATAACCTATAATAAAGTCAACTGAAGCCCAAAAAAAGGGGGGGAGATAAGGTGTCAAGGAGTTGATTTCCCTGAATTGCCAGTCTTTGCTGACCACCTCTCATCTTTCTCTACCCTAAGCTTCGGGTACTGAGACTTGCTGATTTAGAACCCCCCTCTTATCTCAGATTATCTGTTTGGGTCACATCTAGCAGCAGTGGCACTTTAACCCCTGTCCTATCTCACAAGGTCACTCCCCGGTCCTGGTGCACCTGTACACTCTCTCTCCAGCCTCTTCCCAGCAGCTGATCTTTCAGCACATCTGCAGCCAGCACCTGCCTCCAAATCTAGGAGTGCCTATGTTGCTTGTTGTTGTCATTGGGTTATCAAATATTAAGCATGGGAATTTGGAGAGAAAAGTTTATTTTTTTATTTGTTTATTTTTATTTTATTTTTTACAAGTTTCCTCATGAAAACAAAGTTGATAGGATGTTGTAAAGAGATTAAAAAGGGTGAGTCTGATTGTACAAGATTCTAGAAAGTTTTTGCATGCTGATTACTTCATTAACATTTGAGTTAAGGAAATCAGAGCTGTAAGTTAGATGTTATGAATGTGATTTTAAGCAAAAACTCATAGTAAATGCCAACTAAACGGCCCATATACAAGAAAAGGTCTGAGTTGTACAAAATGATTGGTGAATATCTACCCATTCATTTTGGGGATAAAAATGAACTATTTAAATGAATGCACAATTTTATTAATTCCTGCTTTTGTAAAAACTTCCCTAAGTCATTAGGTAAGAATTTTACAAGCATTATTTATTAAGCAGTAACAGTGAAGTGGAGACCATTGAGCTTTTTCCAAATTGTACAAGACTATCAATAGCACAGTAGAACTTTCCAAAGCTCCGTGGCTTATAGCTATCTCTCTCTCTCTCTCTCTCTCTCTCTCTGTAAAGTTTTTAAAGACCTGGTTGATTGTCCATATTTCTTCTGCCAGTGTTATGGAATAAATCAATGAGAATAACCTCTAGGAATTTATATGTGGAATCTTCATCAGCCCGGCAGGAAGTCAAGACTCTTAGAATCCCAGTGACATCTCATCACTGTTCAGCAGCAGTGAGGTTCAGCTAAACTTTTAGTTATTGAACTTCATGGCAGCAGATTTTCCCTTAGTATCTGGACATTTGCAGCCAAGATAATATACATGAACCCAATATATGACATAATCTCTCTTGGCTCCATCTCCTGTTCTCCATCCTGTCTTAGGACTGGTGAGGCTGGAGGCCCCGGGGAGAGAATATTGAGAGCTGGTGCCAGCAGTGTACTCTGAGGAAAAGAGCACAGCCCCTGACCGCTCTTCCTTCCTAGCTTCTGGACTTAATTTGAAATGCCTCTCTTGGCTTACCGCCCAGGGAGCAGGAAGAGCTTTGAGAACATGGGGTCCCCTGACTCCAGGCTATTTAATCATTCCTTTTGATTCATCAAGCAAGTGTTGGGTGGCCCATTGGTCGCTTGTTGAGAGGACTTTTGAGGTCACATTTCTTAGTGCTAGGTTCAGAACTCAGTGTGAAACTCTCAGCTAAGTTCCTGGCACAACTCTGCTCTGTCTTATTGGCCAGGACTTAGCCTTATGCTGAGTTCCAAGTCATTCAGAGTTTCTAAAAGTTCACATTGGAACATCCAAGTGGCAGAGGACTTTCCAGAGCATCTTCTAAGGTCTCCAGGCCTTGTCCACCACCCCGTGTTAGTCCTGAATTGTAAATCAGCTGTACCGTGTAGGAACTAATTCTTTAAGGTGACAAGATGGTAAGTGCCCTGCTTCCCGTCTCATCTCCTCTTTCTGTTATGATGTCTATGTGTCCAAGAGAGAAGAATGGTTTTGACATGAGGGCTGGAGTGATAGCACAGCGGTAGGGCGTTTGCCTTACAAGCGGCCAACATGGTCGACCCGAGTTCGATTCCTCTGCCCCTCTCGGAGAGCCCGGCAAGCTACCGAGAGGATCTCGCCCGCACGGCAGAGCCTGGCAAGCTCCCCGTGATGTATTCGATATGCCAAACACAGTAACAACAAGTCTCATGATGAAGACGTTACTGGGCCCGCTCGAGCAAATCGATGAACAATGGGAGGACCGTGACCGTGACCGTGTTTCTTAAGAGATTAATGAACTCCCAGAGCCACCACTAAATTTAAGAGAAATTCAGAAATCAGGCACAGATTATTTTTTTCTCAGCGGTAGGACGTCTGCCTTGCACGCAGCCAACATGGCCGACCCGAGTTCGATTCCTCCACCCCTCTCGGAGAGCCCGGCAAGGTACCGAGAGTATCTCGCCCACACGGCAGAGCCTGGCAAGCTACCCGTGATGTATTCGATATGCCAGACACAGTAACAAGAAAATCTCCAATGGAGACGTTACTGGGCCCGCTCGAGCAAATCGATGAACTCTTTCTCCAACCTGGTATGGAGGAGAGAGCCTGGGATAACAAGCTTCTCACTCAGGTCTCTGGCCCACATATCAGAACGGCCATGAGACGAATGTGAGCTTTGCAGGCCAAGGTGAGTGATGGTTTCTTCACAAAGACCCTCCTCCTCACATACCTGCAGTCAGGAAACATTTCCTCAACATCTGAGACCTCTTAGTACTACTCAGTACTACTTATTACTACTACTACATCGACCCTCATTAGGCTCTTAGTTTCTCTAAACTTGTCCTTGTTTCAGGGCTGGAGAGACAGTACTGTGGGTAAAGGGCTTGCCTTGTGTGCAGCTGATCTGGGTTTGATCCCTGGCATCCCCTATAGTTCCCCAAATACTTCTAGGAGTTATTCGAGAGTGCAGAGCCAGGAGTAACCCCTGAGCATCACAGGGTATGCTCCCCCATGAACCCCCCCCACACACACACACACCAAAAGAAAAAAGTTGCCTTGGTTTTAATTTCTTTCCAACTATTGTCACCCTTCACTGGGTATTGCTACCTAATATCCATAGAAAAAGGAAAGAAGGAGCAAGAAGACTCTTCATTACCCTGTGCCTCTAAGGTATCACGACAGTGACACTTGCACTCTATCTGTCTCAGATAAGTGAAATGAGGCTGTAAATCAAGAGTGTTGCCAGCTCCAACCTGGAAAAGGTCGCATGCTCAGGCCAGGATTTGTACCCTACTCACTGGTCTGTCCTTCGCGGTGGGAAGAATGGGAATGGAGTAGTCACCACGGCACCATCTACTCACATGTACCCCATTCATAGCGACTTAAGAAGTCAAGAGTATACAGGGACCTGAAATTAGAACCCAGGAGATGTAGTAATTAGGTGGTCAGGGGGTATGAGGCAGTCATCTGGAGATGGTCCTGATGTGTGTATCTGTATGTAGGGGTGTATGTGTGTATGTAGGTGTGTGTATGTGTATGTAGGTGTGTGTGTGTGTGTATGCGCTTGTGCGTGCTCAGACACTGTGCAAGGAGGGGAAGGCAGCAGTCCTCAGAGAGGAATGCCTAGACCACCAGGCAGCAGAAGGGCAGACATTCTGTGGTGCTTGGATAAGTCCTTCACAAGCAATAAACTCAACCAACTCCCTGTGCCAGGAGCAAGTGCCAGTGGAGAAAATGGGATAGTGAGAGTTTACAGAAAGGTAAGACTTTAAGACCCCTTTGCTTTGCTGAGACACCCTTAAAAGGACTGGGCACCCTCTGGGCACCCTTGAGAGAACCAGAAGTTTCTCTAAAGGTTGTCTGTGCTTTAAGTCAAATAAGCTTGAAAGTGACACCCCTTCCTCCTTTCTGGGCATATGCATAATAGGCAGTGATTGCTGGTCAGAGATTGAAAGGTACTTCTGATTTTTTTTCAGTTCTGTTTTCAACACAGTTAAACCCATGACTGATTCCAGGTCAACACCGGGAAATGAGCTGATGTGGAAAGGTGTCTCCATCACCTGCCCCATCCCCTACCTCCAAAGCATACACAGACTAACTGCTCACCAGAACGCAAAAAGAAGTATGAAGCTGTACATAACTAGGAAAAAGACAATTCCAGGTACCATAAACTTAGGAGAACTCAGCATTATGAAGGATTGAGGTGCATGTCATAACTCCCACTAAGAGATGGGAGCCCATGTCACAAGCCCAGTGGGAATCTGGGAAGTGGGAAACTGGGTTTCTCATAAAGAGCCAAGAAAAGGCTAGATTGCTGGGGCTGGAGAGATAGTATAGTATACCCATGCAAGCAAGGGTACCTGCCTTGCATGTAGCTGTCCCAGATCCATCCGCATCCCACATGGTCCCTGGAGCAAGTCAGAAGTGATTCCTGACTGCAGAGCCAGTAATAAACCCAGCACTGCTGGGTGTGGCCCACAAACAAACAAACAAAAAGGAAACAAAAAACAGGTGGGGGGTGGGCTAAATTGTAGTTATAAGACCTGAACTTTTCTACCTATAAACCATGAAGCTCAAAACTGTAGACTAAATAAAAACTGACTCTGGGGACTGGGGAGACAACTCAAAGTGGTGCAGAGCATACCCTGCAGGCACAATGCCCCAAGTTTGATCCCTGACCCAGCATGACTCCCAAAAGGGAACCACTGGGTGTTGTGTGGCATGGTGGCTCCTAGCACAGCTGGGCCTGAGCCACACAGCATCACCAGGGCCCTAAACTTGTCATTCTCAGAACCACCAGGCCAAGTAACAATGGGGAGTCATCCTAGAGCTCCTGAGCATATCTGTAAATACCACCCCCCCTACCTCTGGCCCATATTGAACTGGAAAAGACGTCACCTCCCACTAACCCCCACAGAGGCAACCAAAACCACCCCCCACAGAGTCCTGTTCTGGCCAATTATTAACCCCTTAGGAGGCCAATGCCACACACAAAAGTTTGGCACACTTGCTTTCATTAAGTACCATTCCACATGGGGAGAACCACCAAAGTGTGCCATTAGTTTTAAGAAACAGCAGCTCACCTGCCCACATTATGTGATGCCATGATGTAAAGCACCTCAGTTGTCTTTACCCGCACAAAGTCATTAATATCCTGCAGCAGTTTTTTCAGACTCTTCATGAAACCTATAAGGCAAACCAACAACCAAACAAGATGAAAAACATCAACCATTCTCAGAAACCAACTGGAAGTCAATAGATGAGACAACACCAGATAACAAGAGCAGTACCAGAGGTTCCACTGTTTGGGGGCCATATGGGGGAAATTGTGTTAAAAAATATTTGGGTCAAAAAGGATAAATGCTACATTTCTGGACTCTACATTTATAAATCTTGGAACCTAAATTTTAAAAAAATAAAATAAAATATTTGGGTCATTCAAGGGGTCTCTGAGTGCCAGAAAGGCTCACCCCAGGGGATAATTCATGTAACTCACTTCCTTCATTATTTCTACCCTCTCTCAAAGTCAGTTAGGGGGCTAAGAAAATAGCACCTGCATTTAGAGAGACCAGGATTCAGATTTTAACTCTTTCCCAAGCTAGTTATGTACTTTCAAATGTGCTATCTACCTGGGTATACAAGACCAAGGAAGTTAAAGTTGTGCTTTATGGGGGCTGGAGAGATAGTATAGTGGGTAGGGCACTTGCCTTGCATGCAGCTGTCCCAGTTCAATCCCTGGAACCCTATATGGTCCCCTGAGCACCAGGAGTAATTCTTGAGTGCACACCAGGAGCAACTCCTGAGCATGCTGGGTATGGCCCTAATACAAAACAAAATTGTGTTTTATATCTCTGTCCAGCAACCCTAGCTTCTGAATCTCGATTTTCTTATCTCTCAGTTGAGTATTTACCCTTCCTCCCAGGGCCGGTGCCGTAATGACCAAGATAACGGTGGTCATACATGTGGAGGGGTACTGACCCAGAGTCCCACTAATTAAATAGCAGTCCTCATTACTGAAGTCCCGCCTGGACTGCTAGGCCCTGCATCTTCTCCAGAGTTAAACCAGTCCCTCTGATAAGACTGGAGGGAGAAGTGACAGTTCTCTAATCCTGTAGCTGGTCTGGGAAATACATCACTCTGCCACTAAATTCACCTCAACTCTTGTTTTGGCAATGAAGAGAGTGGAGAAAAAAGAACCTTATGACCCAGATGTATCTGAGGGTTTCTAGGGTACATGGCTCTCTTCTGTTAGCATTGTGGATAAAATAAATAAAGATGGATCTTTGTGGAAATGCAACCAAATGGACAAGGCATAGAAGAGAAGACTGCTGATGGTGTCTGGATAAGGAATAACCAATGAATCGATGGGGATGGATACTGGTGATCTCAGTTCCTTCTATCTGGAGCTGTTTTGACTGTCTAGATGCCTTTTTGTCAGTAAGTAGGTTGTGACATGCTCACCTGTGTTGATAGCCACAGCGACGTTCTCAGGGTCATGCACGAGGTCAGAGAGAGCCATGAGGGCTTTTTGCCTTGTCTGTAGATCCTCAGACTGTAGCTCCTCATTCAGCTTGGGAAGGGCTCGATGGCCATAGGCAATGGCAGCCTGGGCAGGATTGATATTAGGGGGCATGTACTGTGAGATTCGGGGATGCGCCATCTTTCCACTCCTGCTGAAGGAGACTCTCTGGCTTTTGAAACGATGTTCTGCAGAAACCACTGCAGTAAATGAATCCCAATAATTATCATTATTACTATTGCAATGTAGGAGCTACTTCTCACTGGGTCTCAAAACTTGGAGGGAAGCTGGGTAGGGATTTTTATTTTCATTTTATAAATGAGTAATCTGGGGTTGAGAGCAATGGATTGATTTTTGAGGTCACCATGAGGGTAAACACTCCACACTACAAACTCCAGAATTCTCCCACGCTTAACAATGAGAGGGAAAACAACACCAGTATTTTACAGACAGGGCCTTTGGTCAAATCAAATCAAATGAGCTAACTCTTGCTATATTTGGTTCTTGTGTTAGCTATATTTAATATCTAACTCAACTACCTCAGAAAGAGGGGATTTGAATTATTCACATTTTACAAAGGAGCTTTAGGGGCAAGAAGCTTGCTGGATGTCACATAACTCCTAAGACTAAGAAACAAAGTTCAACTCTGTGTCAAGCTCATCTACCTGTGGAGAACTATATTCAGATGCTTGCCTTTAGGGGCCTAAAAGAAATTAAAATAAAGTGGTGTGTGTGTGTGTGTGTGTGTGTGTGTGTGTGTGTGTGTGTGTTAGGTTGGTTTTGGACAACACCCAGCAGTATTTGGCAGCTACTCCAGCTCAGCACTGGGGTACCATGTGGTGCCAGGCATCAACATACAAAGCACGTAGTATAATCATTTGAGTCCAACCTCTGCAAGCAGGTAGGATTGGACTATGTCACTCTCCAGTGGTAAACATGTAGCAATTATAGGCAGTATGGCATAATAGATCACAACAGGGGGAGATAACTCAAAGTTCCAAAGCACATGCCTGGCAGGCATAGAGTCCCAGGAATTGAACCTAGCATTGTATGGCCTCCCAAACTCCTCTAGGTGTAGGTAGGATGACCCTCAGCAAGGAAGGAAGGGAAGAAAGGAGGGAGGGAGGGAGGGAGGGAGGGAGGGAGGGAGGGAGGGAAGGAAGAAGGAAGGAAGAAGGAAGGAAGGAAGGAAGGAAGGAAGGAAGGAAGGAAGGAAGGAAAGAAAGAAGGAAGGAAGGAAGGACAGGAGAGGTGGGACGGAGGGAGGGAGGGGGAGAGAGGGAAAGTGGAGAAGGAAGTGAAAAGGGGGAAAGGGAGGATTGGAAGGGTTTGAGGGCCAGGTCAGGGGTGGACATTGACCATCAGTTCTTTTATCTATGTCTTACTGCAACCACAAATGAGAAACTGTAGCACTGCAGTACTGCCCTCCCGTTATTCATCGATTTGCTGGAGTGGGCACCAGTAACGTCTCCATTGTGAGATTTGTTGTTACTGTTTTTGGCATATTGAATACGCCATGGTAGCTTGCCAGGCTCTGCCGGTGGGAGAAATTATAAAGGAACCATATTCCTTCCCTCCCAATAGTTGTTCCATTAACTGATGATACTCATGAGCCTGGCACACCCGGTCTCCAAAGACATTGGCTGTTGGCTGTGGGTATTATTATAGTGGTGGTGGGGAACCAGGATTAGTGGCAAAGACAGACCTGGGAGAGGACTATACTCCAATGAAAGGTTTTAGACACTCCGGGCGCCGCTCTGGCGCGGGAAAAAGGTAAGAGGAAGGGAGGCCCAGGTGGGAGGGAACTTGGCCATTTCAGACCTGGGCTCCCCTTACAGAGATCCCAGCACAGGGTAAAGGGACATGGGCTGTGAGATTCCAGTAGCCCCTAAGAGGACCTTGAGGGTTGTAAGGACGCGGATCCAGAAGACTAGGTGTATGGCCGGGGGAGGGGGGGGGGGACCCCTGTCCCGGGTCCCTGTCGGACTCCGGCTGGCTCACCTGCCTCAGCTCAAACGGTCTCCGCGGTGCGCCCGTTGCCAAGCGACCAGGTTGCTAGGCGACCTCGCTGAGTACGCAGCCTGGGCACAGTCGGAACCCCAACACGCAGGCGCCAACATCTCGGGTTGGGCCGGCTATAAAGGGGGGCGGGGAGGGGGGGGGGTGGCAGAAATTGACAAGATTGGTATGAAGAACTAAGGCGCGCGACCGTGTTCCTGGTACACAGGGGAAGGGAATAGGAAGGTAGGAGAGGTTTGGGAGGGATTGTGTGTCACTTTCGTTCTCCTGGACACTTGGAACTCCTTTGATCCTCAGAGTCAGCCTCTGCGGTGATTGATTAGGGTTCAGTGCTGAAGCGAAGGAAACCCTAGGTTCCATCGGGTACAAAAAGGAAAACAGGAAGAGAAGAAATCGCTGAAGTGCTAAATGTCCGTTATTCAATTTCTGAACATAAACCTCAAAGAGGTTCAGGAGCTTTTCCCAAATCACTCAGGTCTGACCCTAGGACTGCCTCACCCTGGCCCTTGCTTCTTGCGTGTTAATGATACACAGATTGATCCCTGCGGTGAACCCAGCAAGTCCCTGGCCAGAACAACTGTTTCTCAATTTTTTTTGTTGTTGAAGCAACATTGGTTTATTACATTATATAGGTTTTCGATGTAGAACATTATAAAGTAGCCTCTTTCTAGACTGCATCGTGTTCCCTTGCAAACTCTGATTTTCCCCCTTTATCACACAAGTCATCCCTTTTATGGGATTTACCCACTTTCTTCCTCATTACCTTCTGATAACCAGTGTTTAGTTTTTAAAATCTAATTGTTTGACAGATCAACTGTTTTTCAGGAAGAATATTGAAAATGTTGGAAACAAGTCAGATTCAGATACCACCTGAGAAAAACTCTGGTCCCACCGCTGAATCCTGTTGTCAGCCTGTTACTCAAAGGGTGATGCTCTCCTCCAGGCATTCTGGATCTCTAATCCCCCAAATTAGCAACTCTTTCCTCAGCCTGAACTGCCTGTAGCTCTGACCACCTTTTGGTTCTTCAGGATACAACTTAGTGACCACTTTTTTTAATGAGGCCTTCCTTTCTCCACAACTTCAAATGAGTCACTGATTCTATAGCTTAATTACCTCATTTGCACACTTACCTCCCCTAATTTTCTTTTGCTTCTCTGTTTCCCCAGTAGATGTCAAGTTTGGAAACTGCTAATCCTGTTTTCTTGCTCTTCCTGAGGTTGGAAACTGCTAATCCTGTTTTCTTGCTCTTCCAATGCCAGAATTTCCCAAAGTTTTTCAGTAAGCAGAGAACAAATAAAAGCTTAATGAACTTGAATCAAACTTTGTAATCACCAAAGCACTTACACCAAAGTAAGTTATCACCAAAAATAAGTAATCGCTAAAGCATTTACCCCATAAGAGTTGTGAGCTTCATAGCAAACTCTCAAAGTAGATAGCTGGGTCTATTTTATAGCTGAATAAATTTAAGCACAGGAAGAGGTAGAATAAGTCACTTAAATTTACTCTTAATCTTGAGCCCCTAGCAATGAAATTAACCAATAGAAGCACTAAACATCAGACTCTGGTGCATTTACCTTTAAATCAAGATAACTGACTTAGATCTGTGTGCCAAGAGACACATATTGTAATATAAATCCAGACATACCCCTTTATGGCTTCCCTTCAAAGAATTAAGTCATGAAAGATTTCTAACCACGTGCATTTTAGCATATTTTAAGTAATATAATGTATATGGCGTTAGACTGGGAGTTAGATCTAAGTTCTAACTCTAGTTCTAACTCATAAAGTAAATTCTTTTACACATATGAGCCTTAGTTTTCTCGTGTGGAAAATCAGGGCAATGAATCAATTAGATTCTCAAAGTGTGGGCTCAGGTACCTCAGGATCTTTTTGCCACCTATTTTATTGGTTTAAATTGTTCTTAAGCTTTATTACTTTTCATTCTTTTTAATCTCTTTTAATATATACATATACTTGGGCCAGAGCAATAGTACAGGGGGTAGTATGTTTGCCTTACACGCGGCCAACCCAGCTTTCCATATGGTCCTCTGAGTTCCACCAGGAGTAATTTCTGAATGCAGAGCCAGGAGTAACCCCTGAGCATCGCTGGTTGTGACCCAAAAAGCCAAAAATAAATAAATAAAAATATATACATATACAATTATATAACGCATATAAGTTTTTATGAAACTTGACATTTTAATCGATGATAAAGAACATTATCAATGCTCACGTCCTTAATCCCTATATCACCCCCTAGACTTCTCTCCAAAGCTACTAATGTCTTATTTTGGTAATTACACAATCTTACAAACACTGTAGAGGTCATCTAGCCCCACATTCTTCACTCCAGAAACAGAAACTAGTTGACAGCAGACAGCATTTTAATGACCATTAATTATAGAAATTAATTTTGTAATAAGAGCCCTTGAAGTCAAGTATTTTATTGGGGTATATTTAAATTCAGAATTATGTGGTCAATTAAGGTCAATAAATGATAAATGAAGACTGGAGGAAAGATCCCTTCATTCAAAGCTCTTGGGTGGGATGTCAATAAAATATGAATACAGCAAGAACTGTTATGTCACAAATGCTGGGAAGAGGATTTATCTGTGGAAAAGCCTCCAAGAAAGAGAGCAAACCAAATTACATTGAGGAGTGATCTCCAAGGGGCAGAGATAAAGGTAATTATTGTCGCCTCTATGCTCAAAATTTTCTTTTCGTTTGAATTGTTTACCAAAAAAGGTAGAGAGGAAAATCCATTAATTATGAAAATAAAATGTCTTCCTTACACTTTGGTCCCCAACAAGTGGTTGTCCCCACCTGTGACAACAACTGGTCTCTTTAGAGATAAGTTAAATATATAAGTATATCCACTTTGTTTGTATAAATAAATTTTGACATAGTGGCAGCATATTTCAAATGTAGTTCCCCACCTCTATTTTTTTAAGAGTATTTGGAGCCAGTGAGATAGTATAAGGGTAAGGCGCTTGCCTCCCACCAGGCTTTCCTGGGTTTTACGTGTCTGGTATGGTCCTCTGAGCCCTCCAGGAGTGATCCCTCAGGGCAGAGTCAGGAGTAAAACCTGAGTATAGCTGGGCGATCACGATGATCACGACCATCCTGTTGTTCGTTGATTGCCACGAGCAGGCCCCAGTAACATCTCCTTAGTCCTAGCCCTGAGATTTTTTTTTTTTAAAGTGCCATATTCAAGGCTCTTTCAGGGTTAAGAGAATGAGCCCCATCATTGTTACTGGTATTTGGCATATTGGGTACGCCACGAGGAGTTTGCCAGTTTGCCGTGTGGGCAGGTTACATTCAGTAGCCTGCCAGGTTGTCCAAAGTAAGAATGAGATAATAAGATGTCGCACAGCTGCAAATGTGACCACTTGCTTCCGGGAGCTGGGTTTTATAGTCTCTGGGTCTTGGCCATTAATGGGATTACACTCCACTAGGGGGCCAGTTGGTCTCCTGCCCCCACGCCTAGCTGTCCTCGCCGGGGCCCCTTGGAGGGGAGCGGATTGAGTTTCCCTCCCTGCCCCGACCAGGGCTCCAGCAGCTGAAGACCTCCAGAACCAGCCACCACTATGCTGAGACCACTCTCCACATGCATGAAGGTACCGGCAGAGGAACAAAGGCATGTGGATCCCAGGGCTGAGATCTCCAAGCCTGCTTGGATCGGGGCTGAGCATCCTCCACCCAGATCGTCCATATTCCAGTAGGCAGGGTCACACCCACCAACTGGCCCCCTGGTGCCGCGTAATCCCATCAACGGCCAAGACTCAGAGACTATAGCTGGGCATGGCCAACAAAAACAAAACAAAACAAAAATTGGTATTTGTTCATTCAGTTAGCATTTACTAAGTGCCAACTATGTGCAGGCACTGTTAAATTGATGCAAGTTAGTAGGAACAAAGCCTTTGCTCTCCTTACTCTCAGTGGAGGGAGACAGACAATGAATATAAACAGTCAATTGCATAACACATGAGAAAACAGTAAACTGCTCTAAGAAACAGAAATAGAGATTGAGCGGATGCTGCAATTGTCAATAGACTGCTTAAAATGCTTAAGAGAGGCCTCCCCTAGAGAGGACATCAGAGCGAAACTGAAGGTGAAGGAAGGGAACAAAGTGGATATCTAGGGAAAGATTACTCCAAGCCCAGAGAACAGCCAGTGCCACACCCCATCGCCTAGTGTGTTGGAAGCCCAGGGAGCATATGTGGGGATAGAGGGTAGGGGAGAAGCAAGGGGAGATGAAATCAAAAGAGTGTCTAAGGCGAATATTATGGGACCTCGTGGGCCACTATGGAGATTTTTTACGGGGGTCCCTGGCTGCGGAAGAGGAAGTAGGATAGAGACAAGGGTAGAAGCCGGAAGACTGGAGGAAAGATTACGGATAACGGCAATACAGTAGAAGTGAGGAGAGGCTATTGGAGACGTTCTGTTTAGGGGAATCTACAGAATTGAGTGATCAGATATGGGATGCGAAGGGGCCGAGGGATCGTGGAGATCCCACTCTACCATAACATAAAGAAAATACACAAAATACTTTAGATGAACAGGAGAAAAATCTTACTTCATTTATTAGGAAAACAAATGCTTAAACGCTGCGCATGATCTCTAGCCCTTTTGCTCTTCCGACTGGGTCTGGGACACACCCCCAGGCCCCGCCCCCAGAGTCAGGCTCCTCCCCCGGACCGCTGGACCACACCTACCGCCGGCCCGTCTGGCTCCGCCCTCGTTGCCATGGTGACCGCTGACACAGCGGCCGCCGCATTCCCAGGAGATCCTGGGAGGCTCCGGTTGCCGTGGTGATCGCTGGTGCCAGACCTCCCCGGGGGACTCCTTCCACTTGGAGCCCCTCCCAGGCCCCGCCCCGCAACTTTCAGGATTCGGCAGACGCCTGCCTGTCACAGGCCCTCGTCGCCATGGTGATCGCCGCCGCAGGTCGGGACAGACTAGGCCGCGCACACTCCCGGGGCTCTGCAGTCGCCGCCGCCGCGGGTGAGTCCGTAGCCCCAGGCCCGAGGCTGTCCCACCCTTGATCCCGGTTAGGCACAACCCAGTGCGCTGGCGGCGGGAGGGCGCTGGGTTCCCCGCCTACCTCTTCCAATGCCACAACCTGAACGTGCGGTCAGGGGCCTGCTCATGCCCGGGGTCCCACCCTGAGTCGTTCTGGAGGAGGGCCGGTCATGGAGCGAAGGGTCACAGGCCCGAGACAAGGCCGCCCTCTTGGGGGCGCTGCAGCATAGGCGAGGCCGTCAGGGGCCTCCCGGGTGGGGTTGACACAAGGCCCCGCCCACCCGAAGCCCTCCCCTTTCAGTTCAACGCCCTTCACCCCCACCCTCTGCCGCAGCCTCTCTCAGACCTCGCAGTGAAGCTCCGAGAAGGGCCTCTCCTGATTGGGCATCTGCTAGAGGCGCTGGCAGTACCAGGTAGGCCCATTCCTCATCCCCTCCCCCCCCACCATACTTGCCTGCAGATTAAGAGAGAGAGAACTTGGTGATGCTCAGATGTTTTCCTTGGTCAATATTCCTGACAAAGAAGGAGCCTTAAGTCTGTTTAAAAAAAAAAAACTACCTGAAAGTTAGGGATGATTTTTTAAAAAAATTTTTTTTTAAAACTTTTATTATTTTATTTTAATGAATCACCGTGAGATACAGTTACAGACTTACAAACTTTCATGCTTACACTTCAGTCATATAATGATCGAGCCCGGCAAGCTACCGAGAGTATCTCGCCCGCATGGCAGAGCCTGGCAAGCTACCCATGATGTATTCGATATGCCAAACACAGTAACAACAAAAGTCTCCAATGGAGATGTTACTGGGCCTGCTCGAGCAAATCGATGAACAACGGGAGGACAGTGACAGTGAATGATCGAGTACCCATCCCTCCACCAATGCCCATTCTCCACCACCAATGTTCCCAGTATCCTTCCCCAAACCCCCCCATCTCCCCCATCCCCCTCCTTGCCTCTGTGGCAGGCAGATTCCCTGTTTACTCTCTCTCCTTTAGGGTGTTGTGGTCTGCAATGCAGGTATTAAGTGGTCATCATGTTCGGTCTATAGTCTACTCTCAGTACACATCTCCCATCCCCAGTGGGTTTTCCAAGCAGGGATGATTTTTAATAGCTCCTTAAGTCTCTTTTCCCTGGTTGGGCCCACAGGACTCTGGAAGGATGAAGTCCTCCCTGATGCCAAGGGGTCCTCCTGTGAGCCGGGACCGCATCATCGCCTGTCTCCCTAAGGTAGACTCCTGGACCAACCATTCCCGTGTGCCCTGTTCTCCTGACACCACTTCCCCACTTACACTCGCTATGGGAAGCAAGGCAAGGTGAATAAACAGGGAGATCAGCCCCTCCCCGATAGGAACCTGACTTGGAAGCCTTCTTGAGAAGCCCGATGTCTGTACTGTTAGGGCCAATGCGAGGCAGTAAATTAAGGGTGACACCAGGAGGCAGTGTGGTCTAGAGGTTTAGGGCAGAGATCGTGTGGTCAGACAGTTCAGGTATGAATTCTGACTCATTAAGCTGTGACCGTGGGCAGGTTATGACAAGAGCAGTGCTGTTGATTCGCAAGGATAATTCTTCTTGCATTGGGTAGCCTAGCTCTTGGCAAACAGAAGCTCCCTTGTAGCTCTGTGTTGTTTCCACCGTTCTCTAAACAACTCTCTAGTTTCCCAACTTCCCAACACCAAATCCAGAGTTCCACCCCCCCCCCCCCATCCCCAACTGTCATTCTTTCTTCATTTTGCCACAATATAGTCCAGGGTCCCTGTGCTGTAGAACCCATTTACATTGCAGGACAACGAGGTCCAGAGAGGGAGAGAGGCTGCTTACCATCCCATAACTGGGCAAAGCACAGTGAGGCCACTACCTAATTATGTATGATTCCAACTCTCCAACCTCCCCCTTTCCCAGAAGGCAACCTGGATATCCCTCCTATTTCCAAAGAAGGTGAGGTTCTCTGCCTCCTGCCTCTGGAAGTTAGGCGTTATTGGCCATCACTGGCCAAGTTCATCCTGCAACCCAGGGCTATACCATTTCAGACATAAGAGACTGTCAGTCAGGAGAGAAAGTTTTTTCTTACCCGGGTTTCTCTGTCTCTAAAATCAGCTCATACTCTGTCCGATCTTCTTTACTACGTCTCATTCTGTTCAAAATGGTGCTATTCTGCTAGTGACCACCATTCCTAGGCCAGCCTCTACTGGGGGCTGACATGGAAGCAGACTAGAAAAAGCTGCTTACTTACTTCCTCAGGGAGTAACTGACACTCTCCCACACCAATGTGGTTTGCTGGGCTAATATGTTCACCCTGTTACCCATTTAATCCTCAATGGCCACAAGAAGAGCTGCTGTGATGAGTTATTGCCATGCTTCCAATAAGGAAACAGCCTCATAACTTGCCTTTTTAAAATTTCTTTCAGGCCCAGAGCAGGCAGGGTATTTGCTTTTTGCATGTAGCCCTCCTGGGATGGAATCTTGATACTCATATGGTCTTCTGAGATCACCAGGAATCATCCTTGAGCACAGAGTCAGGAGTAAGCCCTGTGCATGAGAAGGTTTGGCCTAAAAACAACAACAAAGATAAATAAATAGGGGGCTGGAGTGATAGCACAGCGGGTAGGGCGTTTGTCCTGCACGCGGCCGACCTGGGTTCGATTCCCAGCATCCCATATGGTCCCTTCGAGCACTGCCAGGAGTAATTTTTGAGTGCAGAGCCAGGAGTAACCCCTGAGCGTCGCTGGGTGTGACCCAAAAAAAGCAAAAATAAATAAATAAATAAATAAAATTTCTCTCACTGTTCCCTCCATCTTTGTCTCCCAGATGGTGAGAGTAGGCGTGCCATTTCAGTGCCTGAGAACTCAGAAGAAATGCCAGGGCAAGGGGAAGCAGATGAGCCCTCGCCACAGTGGGGGTGAGAGCTCATAGTACTGTAGTGTATGTAGTCCAGAACAATATCCAGGCCTCTCCTGGTGGACCATATGTATTGTCTCCAGCTGTGTCCTTCCCCCTCGGTGCTTGGCAAACTCCATCCTTAGTTTTGGTTAACCTGAGAGCAAAATAAAGTCTTTATCCTTTGTTTGTTTAATATCATTTCTCCTAATGATTGTTTGTTTAAAGTCATTCTTCCTAATTATAAAACAAAGGTTTTTTCAACAGGTGTGATGGGTCTTAAACAGCAAAAACATTTCCTGGGCATTTAGTATGTGCCAAATTGGCCATCTGTGATAGATTTAAAGACAACTCATTTCATGACCCAAGTCTCTGGGGTTTCAGAGACATTAAGTAGCAGCCATGGTTGACAGGTAAATGTGGACTTAATGCTTCCTTGCACTGAATTAAACTACTGCCTGGATGTGACATCTTAGAACAGTGGATATGTCCTTCTAGGAAACTTTTCTTGCACATATTTAAAATAAAACTATTGGGGTCAGAAGGATAGTGCAGTGGGTAAAGCCCTTGCCATGCATGTCTCCAAACCACGTTCAGTCTCTGGCACCCTCTATGGTCCCCTGAGCACTGCCAGGAATAATCTCTGAGCATAGAGCCAGGAATAACTTTTGAGCATCACCAGGTATGACCCCAAAACAAACAAAAAATAATTTAGTATATAAAATAAACAACTATCTTTTAAACAAAAGTATCCTAATGCAAAACAAAAGCAAAAACCAAAAAACCCTCTAAGAATTAATCCCGTAAACAGCAAAAACATTTTCTGGGCATTTATTATGAGCCAGATCGGCCATGTGTGATAGATTTAATTAATTAATTAATTAATTAATCCAGAGACCCAGAGATAACAGAGGTACACCACACATTCTCAGCAAAGACACGGCTCAACTCTGAATCTGCACGAGCTCTTTGGTCTCATCCAGTGCTGCTTCCTCTCATTGGAAGGCACAAGCCTCTGTAGTTTTCAGGCCTCTGATGAGCTAGATGACACAAGTGACAAGAGTGACCACAGAAAGCTAAAGCCAGCCTTGCAGCAGGGGAGGAGGGAAATACTGGGAAGTTAGTCACTCCCTCACTACCCTGCGTCACTGTTTAGGATGATGTGTCTGCCTATCTGTCTGTCTGTCTCTTTCCAGTGGTACACACCCGAGGCCTGCCTCCAGCTCAAGGAGCACTTCCATGGGCAGGTCAGCGTGGTCTGCCAGCGTAGGAACACGGGCACTGTTGGGTGAGCTCCGCCGCAGGCTAGAGGACGTGGGACTGGGGCTGGGGGCACTGTGAGCAGGAATGAGTATATGAATGAACAAAACTCAGAGACTCCACCGGGTCTGGAGAATCAACTGGGAATTTTATCTGACTTTTTCAAGATACCTCTGCCATCGGCCATGTAGAACCAATTTCCCTGGGAAGATGTGTCTAGGAATTTTCAGTCTGATTTCTGAACTGATATCTCAGTGTGTCTGTCTCCTGGGTCTGTGTCTTCCTTCTTCTCCTCAGGTCTCAGTGTAAGTGTTGATCCTCTTTGGCTTCCTGTGCCACCCCCACTATATCTGCCTCCCAGCCTGTGAGGGAAAGGACACCCCCCCCCTCTCTCTCTCTCTCTCTCTCACACACACACACACACACACACACACACACACACATGCACACTTCAGAGAATTATGAGTTTGCCTAAATGTGAGGCCTATCTCTGTCCTATTCCTATTTCAGCAGCACCAGCCCAAGGGGGTCTTTCAATATCACTCCTTTTGGGGCCAGGGAAATAGTACAGCAGTAACCTGGCATGAAACTGGCCCTGGTCCAATCTTGGGTATCCCTTATGGTCCCCTGAGCACTACCAAGAATGATCCCTGAGTACAGAGCCAGGAGTAACCCCTGAGCATCACCTGGTTTGATCCAAAAACAAACTAACAAAAACCCCAAAACAAAAATAGCCACTCGTTTGGGGGGCAGAGGGGTAGTCCAAGGGGGTAGGGTAGTTGCTTTGCATGTGACTGACCTAGTTTTTGTCCCCTGCGACCCATATGGCCCCTCTGAGCCCTGCCGGGAGTGAGTTCTGAGCGCAGAGCCAGGAGTAAGCCCTAGCATTAAGGCTGGGTATGGCCCCAAACCAAAAACAAAAGAATCGCTCCTTTTAATAAATGCAGACAGAGCCTGTTGCAGTCTCTTATCCTGAAGTGCTCATAATCTATACAGGAAATTGGCTGATCTCGCAGGTGTCATAGATATGTGCTACGGAGGCCCAGTTCTGAGATGTCCACAGCTGGGTGAGGTGAGGCCAAACTCATTTCCAAATGGCCAGAGCACGTCATCGTGGCGAGAGCGATGGCCGCTGAATCAGGTGTGCTGAATCTGTGCCAGGTGCTCCATCCCTAGCATCTCCCTCCCCACAACAATGTTGGGATGTGGGGAAACTGAGACACAGAGGGAACTCTCTCCAACAATGCCTTTTGTCCCTCATCAGAGAAGCAGCATTTCCGGTCCAGAATTAGAGGCTGCCTGCAAGCAGAGCAGACACAGCCCCTGCCCGCTCTTGTGAGCCACAGCGGATCACCAAGTGACACAGGGACTTGCTCTTTGCAGCAGGAGGAAATGCCTGGTCAGATGTTGAGCCAGGGTGGAGGCTTTGACCATGAGTCTCTTTGGCAGGAACTGCAGAAACTTGGGGCCTGCTGTTGCCTGAAGTGCAGGACGCATCACGGATGGTGGCAGCTGCTCAGGGAGATCAGAATCTGTAGAGAGCCTGAGAACCTCAGAACCGGTTTACCTCAAACCACAGCCCTGAATCCTGTTCCTGAAAGGCCCTCTGGTCTGCCTGACCCTGGCAGACAGCTCCAAGAAAGCAGGTGGCAGTAGTGTCCCCACAGGAAGTGCCTACCTACAAGAAGTAGGCGCATGCCCCCAGGGACAGGGGGGAGAGTGTAGAATTCTGTCCCTTGTATATGTGTCCCCTGCATGTCAGCACTGTCTTTTTTTTTTTCCTATTTGAGTCACATCTGGCGATGCACAGGGGTCACTCCTGGCTCATGCACTCAGGAATTACTCCTGGCAGTGCTCAGGGGACCATATGAGATGCTGGGAATTGAACCCAGGTTGGCCACATGCAAGGCAAATGCTCTACCTGCTGTGCTATTGCTCCAGCTCCAGCACTGTGTTTTTCTCCTCCATGCACTCCAGGCTCCTGCACCCTCCACTAGACACCCCCACACCAGGACGCTTCCCTCTGCTCCTTCAGCCTCTCTACACCTGTGTCCAATTATCACAATAGGGCGTGGAGCCCACTGGGTGGGGCGGGGGTGTCATGAACCAAGGGTGGGAACCAGGATCTCTGCAAATGACTATCTGATCTCTTGCCCAGGATTGAGGAGAAACTTGCAGGAAAGGAAAGTGGTGTGTGTGTGTGTGTGTGTGTGTGTGTGTGTGTAGGTAGGTACCTTTGTGAACCTGCTTTAGAGTAATTTTGAACGTGTGTGTGTATGTGTGTGTGTGTGTGTGTGTGTGTGTAGGTAGGTACCTTTGTGAACCTGCTTTAGAGTAATTTTGAACGTGTGTGTGTATGTGTGTGTGTGTGTGTGTGTGTGTGTGTGTAGGTAGGTAGGTACCTTTGTGAACCTGCTTTAGAGTAATTTGGACATATTCCTGCCAGGCTCAAACTCTCCAAGGTGGTTGTCCTGGGTGATCTCTACGTGGGCAAGACCAGCCTCATTCACAGGTACGCCAACAAATACTCCAACACAGTGCCTTGGCCGGGGTGACCCAGATGACATTGCGTGACTGCTGGGAGTCACCCAAAGGAGAGGGTGCAAGAATTCAGGGAGACGGAGGTATTGAGCATAGTGGAGGATTCCAGAAACCTGGGGTTTGTCATATTGTCCCCTTGAGGTCACTGGCTCATACCTTATTGCCCTCCCTACATACAGACAGCCAGTTTATCATGGTTTCCTAACTCACACTCATTGCTGTGACTTCTCTTTCCCACCTGGTTATTGTTGTGGCTCCCTGTCCCCCTAGACTGTCATCTCCATAGTGTTTCTAGGGGTAAAAGGATTGGACTTTTATTTTTATGTTTTTGCCTCCAGACTTCCACTATCATAGGCCAAACATTGTGAATACTTCTCTGAGGTTTTCCTGTGCTCTCACAGGTTTTGCAAGAATGTTTTTGACCGTGACTACAAGGCCACTATTGGGGTTGACTTTGAAATTGAGCGCTTTGAGATCGCTGGGATTCCCTACAGCCTCCAGATGTAAGTGACCAGAATGTCGCCCTGTTTCCTGTGTGACCTGTGGAGACAGTCTTGGGAAAAGCTCCCGGCAGAAGCTCTGGCCCTCTGAGCTCTGCTCCACGGGGCTCAGTTAGGACCTTCCTGGACAGTAGCACCTGGTTGTGAATCCTGAGTTCCCAGTTCTCAAGGCCTGAAATAGTCCCTCAGTCCTAGCGGGTGTCTTGTGTTGATCATTTATTTGAAAAGTCCTTAAACCTCCTCCACTTCCCCACTGTTCCCTGGCTCTGAGCCAGAAAAACCGAGATCAAGGAGCTAATGGTGACAGTGGCCTATATTGGGGTTCACTCAAAGGTGCACCCAAAGGTCTAATCTAATTAGAGGGTCCAGGAAAGAGCAGAGTTATGCTGCTGACTCAGCCTCTGATTGTCTTACACTGGCACCACTGCCAGCCATCCAACTGGCTCTCCCTCTAGGCCATCCTTCCGGCTCCCCAACTATTAGAATCATCTTCAGACATGAAAAAACCCTGATGAATACTTATAATTTTTTTATTTGGGGCGGTATACTCAGGGGGGGTTAAGGGTTATCATAGCTATAACTGGTGGTACTTAGGGGGACATGAGTGCCAGGAATCAAAGGTAGAGTCTCACACATGCCAGGCACTTGCTCCACCTTTTGAGATATCTTCCCAGCCCTAAGCATGGTGGTGCTATTTGGTCATTATTATTATTCTTTATTGGAAGCCTGGGCCGGAGCGATAGCGCAGTGGGTAGGGCATTTGCCTTGCAAGCGGCCAACATGGCTGACCCGAGTTCGATTCCTCCGCCCCTCTCGGAGAGCCCAGCAAGCTACCGAGAGTATCTCACCTGCACGGCAAAGCCTGACAAGCTACCCGTGGCATATTTGATATGCCAAACACAGTAACAGTTGTCACAATGGAGACATTACTGGGCCCGCTTGAGCAAATTGATGAACAACGGGAGGACAGTGACAGTGACTGGAAGCCATCCAGCAGTGCTGGGAGTCAGGTAGTACTGGGGACTAATCTTGGGGCTTGGCGAATGTAAAACATTTATTCCAGCTGTTTGAGTTATCTCCCCAACTCCTGGAATGAATCAATAGAAAAAAAACACCAAAAAATTCCACATCAAACTGGATCACTAGAAAAAAATACCATTGGTATATTGCTCATGACTTTATCTTATCTTCAATTCACTCAGAAAAGTTAAATTTTAGGGATGGAGTGATAGCACAACAGGTAGGGCATTTGCCTTGCATGCAGCTGACCTGGGTTCAATTCCCAGCATCCCATATGATCCCCTGAGCACTGCCAGGAGTGCAGAGCCAGGGGGAACCCCTGTGCATCACTGGGTGTGACCCAAAAAGCAAAAAAAATTTTTTTAAAGTTAAATTTCATTTTAGAAAAGTCAAAAAAAGGGATGTCATATTGAAACAGTATGAAACTTCATACTCAGACCTGATTAGTCACCTCCTGCCTGGTTGCAAACATGGGCAAGAGGATCTCAGTATGTGTGCCCTCTCTTCTATTCTGAACCCGTGGAAGACATCATTAATCAATTGTTGCTTTTTCTTTCATGGAATGAGGACTCAGTTGATTTAGCGTCAAAATGACCCCAAACATGAGAGTCGTGTCCCTCACCATCCCTCATGTAGAAAGCTGTATGTCTCCTTTGCTGTAAGAGAGCGGGTGAAGCCAAGCCCCAGTCCCATATGACAAGTGACAAAGCCATCACTGGCAGTCCCAGTCTGAACCCAGGTCCTATTTATGGACTATTCAAGTCTGAGTCTTGAATAGTCCAGTTGGACTTTATATTTTCAGACTGAACCATCTAGGGAGCATAGCCTCTTATTTTAATGTCAGAAGGGACTGAGCTCAATATTATTCCATTCCGCCAGGTAGTAAAGCTACAAAGGTCATATTCTTCCTTCATAGGCATGGTGAATCCAGCCAGGGAACCCCTCCCCTTGGATATCCAAGGAAGGAATCCTAGGGAACTGGAGGATAATGATGACTGATAAGTGCACTGCAGGCACTTCGTGAAGCCCACTCCCTAGCACAGCCCTCAGGTCTGCTGCCCTCTGCCCACTAGCCTGCTGGCTCACACCATTGAAGTTGCTGAACCTTCCCACTTCTGCTCTTTTCCCTCTCTGTGTCATGACTTAGCTGGGACACTGCTGGACAGGAGAAGTTCAAGTGCATCGCATCTGCCTACTACCGGGGTGCCCAAGGTGAGTGAGTGATGAGCCCTTGACCATGAGCAGCAGGAAACTCCCTAGTGGACTCCACAGTGGAAAATTTAGCTTTGCTGTGCAGACACCATGTCTGTGATCTGAGAAACACCTCTCCTCCTAGACCAAGGAAGTTGTTTTCCTGCCTGATTTCCTGGGCTGATTATGACAGTCACACTTTAGGGATCCACTGGTGCTGGTTGCTTCCTCTAAGTTTCAATCCACATTTTCAGCTCCGAGAGACACTCAGAGAAGGAAGAGCTTATTTAGGGACTCCAGAGAGTGGACTCCCAGTGGCAGGGCAGAGGTTGGGCTAGAGAGAAAGAGAGGGGCTGTATCACAAGTGGACTGCACCCCAGACCGAAGGACAGTGGTGGTGACTGAGACAGGACATAGGGCCATGGGGACCACCAGGTCCCCAAGCAGTCAGTATTAGAAGCTCCTACTCTTAGAGGGATAGAGAAAGGGTTTTTCAGAGCAGTGTGAGAGTACTGTTTTAAGTATACCAAACCCATCTCAAAGGATGAGGCACAGGTAGTAACTATTCTGTGCCAGAGTAAAAAAAATATAACTTTTTCATTATGATTTGAAAACATGGGGGTGGGAAATAAGTCAAAGAACTGGAGCCCCTGCCTGGCATGTGCTAGACTGAAAGTTCAATCTCTGGCATTGTATGGCTCCTGAGCACTTTCCAGACCAGCGTAGTTGGGCCCAAGCATCAAAACTTTCAGGCCCTCCATGCCAGGCCAAGAAATGCTGAGAGTAGCCTTCAGGCCCCTGAGAACCTCTGAACAAGACCCCCATCACCAACCCCCCACCTACCACAGAAATCAATTGAAAACACTACAAACAGGAAACGGACTGTGAGATAGGTCAGAGGGGCACAGCACATGCCCTGCACGCCCAAGACCCTGAATACAATCCCTGGCATCATATGGCCTCCCTTACACAGCCAGAGTGACCCTGAGGGCCCCCAGAACTGTTGGAGCCCAAACTGCTCTATAGCATGGACGTGTACTGCTGGAAGTGGCCCCAGGGCTCCCCAAGCAGTACTGGGGAGTCTCTCTCCCCAGATACAAACAAAAAAGGAAGTATAAACACCTCAGCTATGTGTGGGCATCCTAGGTCTGCCACTTCACCACGGCTTCTCTCTTCCCTGGGGCTGATACCCTCAAGAGTAAGAGTAGAATGTGCCTGATGCCCCTGGCAAACAGCGGATCTGGGACATCACTTCCTCTCTGCCTGGCGGGGAGGAGGGGCTCTCCCACAGGCTTTGGTCAAGGTGCAGATGAAGCTCCCACTCTAGTCCTGCTTGCAGCCCCAGGGACCAGTAAAGAGCAGACTTCTCTGGAATGTCCTCCATATGAGGTTCCTGCCAGAGCCCCAGCAGGAACTTGGCCACCCTAGACAGCTTAGGGTCAGGGTGACCCAGCAAGGAGAGCCAAGGAGATGAGAGTTGTAGTTCCCATTTTCTTTTTCTTTTTCTTTTTCTTTTTTTTTTTTTTTTGCTTTTTGGGTCACACCTGGCAATGCACAGGGGTTACTCCTGGATCTGCACTCAGGAATTACTCCTGGCGGTGCTCAAGGGACCATATGGAATGCTGGGAATTGTACCTGGGTCGGCCGCATGCAAGGCAAACGCCCTACCCGCTGTGCTATCACTCCAGCCCCCCCTCCCCCCAGTTTCTACTTGCTGCCTCTCCAGAAACTGTTTCCTTAAAGCTCTTTGTTGCTAATCACTCCCAGTTTCTAGCTGCCACGTGAAAAGTCAATCCCATATCAGGCCCTAGTTCACAGGTCACAGGTCACAGTCCTCCCATTGTTCATCGATTTGCTCGAGCGGGCCCAGTAACATTGTGAGACTTGTTACTGTGTTTGGCGTATCGAACACATCACGGGTAGCTTGCCAGGCTTTGCTGTGCGAGCGAGATACTCTCGGTAGCTTGCCAGGCTCTTCGAGAGGGGCGAAGGAATCGAACTCGGGTCGGCCATGTTGGCTGCGTGTAAGGCAAATGCCCTGCCGGCTGTGCTATCACTCCAGCCCAGGCCCTAGTTCAAGCTTTGAAAATAGCGAGTCTTAGGGATCTGGGGCAATAACACAATGGATAGCGAGCTTGCCTTGCACATGGATGGCCTGGGTTCAATTCCCAGCACTCTATGTGGTCTCCAATCCTGTCAGGAATGATTCCTGAGCACAGAGCCCTGAGCGCAGCCATATGTGGTATAATAAAAAGATGATGATGATGATGATGATGATGATGATGATGATGATGATGATGATGGCTCTTGTTTAATGCTCATAGCTGCCCCGAGAGCTTGAGGTATCACTCTCACCATTTTACATATGAGAAGCTGGGGCTCTCAGTGGTTAAGGTCCTCATCAGGCTCCCTAAAGTGTAAACTGCAACAGGGAATTCTGAATATAGGAATATGGGAGTCCACTAGTTCATCTCGCCTTGGCTGGGCCACAAAGTGTGGGTCAGAAAGGGAAAAAAGAAGGTTTGTCCCAGAATCAACCATGAGATGGGTCCTCCTTCATCATGGGGTCCTGGCCTGGGAACCAGGACAGTTCCAAAAGATCCTGGTTCCTCGTAGGGAGCAGAGATGCCTGAGAGGACCCCCACTTATCACTCTGTCTCAGCTCTCTGACTGACTCTTGGTTTTCACCTACATGTGCAGTGATCATCACAGCCTTTGACCTCACCGATGTACAGACTCTGGAGCATACCAGGCAAGTCTGGGGCGCCCTCTCCTCTCAAACCTTAAAAATGCTCCCTGTGCTCCCCAACTCCAGATGGTGGATGAGACCCTGGGATCACTGTCAAGGTGGATTGACTGCCCACCAGCTCCCCAATACCCTATCCTTTTATCCTTCAAGATGTAAGGCCAGGGCAGGAGCAATAGTACAGCGGGTAGGGTGTCTGCCTTGCATACAGCTGACCTGAGTTCGACTCCTGGCATTCCATATGTCCCCCAAGCACTGCCAGGAGTAATTCCTGAGTGCAGAGCCAAGAGTAACCCCTAAGCATAGCCGAATGTGACCTCCTAACCTCCCCCCCCGCAAAAAAAAATACCCACAGAAAAAAGATGCAGGGTCTTCTGCTAAGGACAGAGTCAGCTCAGAGCATAACCACACAAACTCATGGGTGCCCCTGTTTAGAGGAGCTGGTCCTATTTGAATGCTCTATTGTTTGGGGGTGAGGGCCACCATATTTTCCTTTGTCCCAGGTTCATCAATTCTTTAACCAGTCCTCTAGGAAGGGAAGTGATTAGGGGCTTCTGTCCTGGGCAGAGACATGGGTAAGAGCCAGCAGCTTGACCACATCCCGGGGCCCTTTTTGCTTATGTCAGTGATTCTCTAGCTAATGGTCCAAAGCCCCCTTATACCTCACTTTAGTTTCAGACATTCTCATCCAGCATTTCCCAAATCCTGTGAGGGAAACCAGGATGACCATTAAAGCTGATGGAAGTGCAGGGATCTTTTTCCTGAATCAGCATGGGCTCTGCCCTTCCCAGCCTCTGCAGCCTCACAGAGGCCCTCCCTGCTACAGGACCAGTCAGGTCAAGATGCTCTTCCAGTACCCCCCGGCTGGCTCATGTGTCAGCCCTTGGGAAGCCAGGGCTGCACCCTTCTGCCCCTCGCCTTCCCCAAGCCCTTTGAGTGAGGTAGGTGAGTGGATGGTCTCTGCCCTGAGTCCCCTCTGTGCTTCCAGGCAGTGGCTGGAGGATGCACTCAGGGAGAATGAACCAGGCTCCTGTTTTGTGTTCCTAGTGGGAACCAAGAAGGACCTTCTGGTGAGTAGAACAAAGCAGGAGACCTGAGTGGCCCCCAGGACAATGTATCTGCTTTCCTGAAATGGGGGGTGCTTAGCACTGATAGGCCTGGACTTGAAGAGCACAGGTCTAGGGGCTAAGAAGTAGAGAGACTCTGCTCTCCTTGCCAGAAAAGGACAGGTAGGGTTTTATCCGCCGGGAAAGCATGCCCTCCCCCCCCCCAAACCCTTCACCATGCTTGCTCAGCAGCCCTGGGTGAGATGGGGAGGAGGGGGCAGTAGAGGGTAGTGTCCCCCCACGGGCTGCCAGGGAAGGTCCCAGGAAGCCGGGTCAGGGTTGCTGTGTCTCCCAGTCAGGTGCAGCCTTCGAGCAGATGGAAGCGGATGCCGTGCGCCTGGCCAATGAGATGCAGGCTGAGTACTGGTCGGTGTCAGCCAAGACAGGTGAGTGGGTGTAGGACTGTCATCGGGGTAAGTGGGGGCTCCTGTGTCTCCTCTGGCCTGTGCCTGACTCAGCCCAGCTCGGTGGCCTGAGAGGAGTCTCAGCTGTAGCAGGAGACTGGGAGCCCTGGACCATGGAGGAGGAACAGCCACACCATGTGCTGGGCCACTGTGTTGTCTAATGCCACTGCCACCTCCCCCTGGGATTCCCTTTCTTCCTCTGAGGTCACTTTCAAGGACCACAGAGGAAGAAGTGACAGGGCCAGGACAGAAATTACTTCTCACCTATGACTACTGTGCTGTCCTGCTGTTTGGTGAAGGCACCCCATGACCTAGTCAAAGGGCCTTTTGTGCCCGCAGGACAATCTTCCACTCCACACCTTACATGGCCCCTCACATGGCCCCTGAGCTGCCCTCACTCAGAGGCCACTGTGGACCCTGGGCCCAAAGCTAGATGGCCCATCTCACCCTTCAGTGTCTCATATAGGAATATAAAGTAATGTTCTTTATCTCAGTTTATTTTATTTAATTTTTATTAATCTTTTTGGTTTGGGGGCCACACCCAGTAGTGACCTACTCCTGGATATGTTTAGGGACCATATATGATGCCAGGGATCAAACCTAGATCAACCCCAACCTCCTGCATACACATACCTGCTGTGTACACATACACACACACACACACACACACACACACACATCACTGTCTCTGTCACTGTCCTCCTGTTGTTCATCCATTTGCTCGGAGCAGGCACCAATAATTAACGTCTCCATTGTGAGACTTGTTACTGTTTTTGGCATATTGAATATGCCACGGGGAGCTTTTGTGGGACTTTGCTGTGCGGGTGGGATACTCTGTAGCTTGCCGGGCTCTCTGAGAGGGGCAGAGGATTTGAATCCAGGTTGGCCGCATGCAAGGCAAACGCCCTACCCGCTGTGCTATCCCTCCAGACCATATTATATATGTGTGTGTGTGTGAGTAAAAGGTGGGGATAAATCTGGCAGTGCTCAGGCCTTATTCCTGTCTCTGTGTTCAGGGATCACTCCTGGTAAGACTCAGAGGATTATATGGAGTGCTGCGGATCAAACCTGGATTTGCCCCATGCAAGGCTGTATTACTCTTGCTCCAGCCCTCCTTTTATTAATGAAAAAATTGTTTTAAATTTCAAAACTCACTCAGAAAAATAGAAAATGCAGAGAAGCAAAGAACAGAACTTGAAAACCAAGATTGTTGAGGACAAAATGAAATATGTGCAGAGGCTGCTGCCTCTAGATCCCAGAGGAACCTGAGTTTTTAGGGACTAGGAAGGCACTACCCTCGCTCCCCGGGAAGGCCACAGAGGGGAGGGCCAGGAGCCGGAAGAGCAAGTAGTAGTGATGCTGAGAGTAGATGCCTCAGGTGGCAGCCTCGCCTCCAGCCAGAGGTCAAAAACTGGCAGTGCCCATGCCCAGTTCTCTCTACCCCTTTGGTTAGGAAGGAAGCGTTCCTCTGAATCTTCTGAGAATCTTCCGTCCTGTCAGAGTAATAGCAGGATCATTAAGCACTCCTGTGGGCCAAGCACAATGGCCCTGTGTGGTTGTATAGGTTGCTAACTGAAAAAGGACATTGTGTCTTGGGGGCTGAGATCAGGACTCAAGACAGCTGCCCATGGGTAACAGGACATAGGTGTGTTCTGAGCTCTGCATAACCCAGTACCTGCTCACAGGAAGTGCTCAGGGTGACTTGAGAGAAGGAGTAGACACTGGGAAAATGCTGAGAATTGCAGGCGATTTTGCAGCTGGTGTCTGCAAGGATTGGAAGGAGGATGGACCCCGAAGGGAAGGAAGACTGACAGGCTCAGCCTCCTGCAGAGGCCCAGCTGGGTGGGGTTAAAGCTGGCATGGTTGCTGTTATTATCAGAGCTACTCTGGCAGGGGCCCCAGACCCGCTAGAGCTTGGCTACCCCCCATAGCCAGTGGCTCCCACCCAAATGCAGCTGCATGAGAGGGCAGAGGAAGAGGTGGTCACTGTGCCTTGTGTTCCCACAGGGGAGAACGTGAAGGCGTTCTTCAGCCGTGTCGCCGCTCTGGCATTTGAGCAGTCAGTGCTTCAGGACCTGGAGCGAAGGAGCAGCACCCGGCTCCAGGTCGGCGATGGAGACCTCATCCGTGCGTACTGGCGGCGGGGCTGGGGCTCAGGAGCAGCCTTGCGCCCTATAATCCGTGTCCCCCATCTCCTTCCTGTCCCCAAACCAGCCATCTCCTTAACATGTCACCTTTGTCATCCTTTGACGCTCCTCCCCACTGCAAAGTTCTTTCTCACATCACTCTGAGCTCAGGCTTGCATTTCCCCTGACCTTGCCTGCGTGTGTACACGTGTGTACACGCCCCTCCTGATTCTCCTTGCCCTTCTGACAGATCCATCCTCATTGGCCAGGTCGGGCAGCCTCTGATCCATTTACATGTGGGCGCTTTGGCTCTCTTCATCCCTGCCTTTCCCTCACTCTGTTCCGCCACCTGGTGTGTAACTCAGGCCCATCAGGCATGTGCCAGGTCATCACAGCCCTGAACAAGTGGCGGGGGGGGGGGGGGTTCTGGTTCATGCCTTTGACCTTCAGACATCAGCGGGGACCAGCAGGAGACTGCACAGTGTCTGCTGCCAGTGTTCGGTGGAGCCAATGACTTCTCTCCCCCTTACAGGAGTGGACGAAGGGTCAGCCAAGAGCCCAGAGAGCAGAAGGCCCTCGGGCGCGAGTTGCTGCTAGCCAGGCCTGTGTCGCTTGCCTCCACTCCCTCGTATCCGAGCATTGATTCCTGTGCCTGGACAGGGATGATGACGACAACAAGGAGCCTGAGCTCAGCCACATGACTGTCCACCTTCCATGCTGAGCCACACGGGGGACAGGCAAGACCTCCACTACCTGCCCCAGAGTCCCAACTGCCCGGCTGTGGGTACCACTGTGGCATCAGTGGGAAAGCCAGCTGTCCCTCCAGAGTCACTGGAAAGTCTCCCTGGTCCCGGAGAGGGCCCAGACACAGGACACTTCTCCCATCACAGCCCTTGCCTTGCCCTTGGCCTCCGCACACCGCAGCAGTCCACTGGGGCTCTGGACTAATCTCAGAATCCTTCTAAACTGAGCGATCTGGGAAAACATGACTACAAAGAATAAGTGCCTGCAGAAAAACCCATCTGTGTGTTTGTGTGGAACTTTGCTAGGACTTGCTGGGCCTCCCTGATTCCTCTCCAGAAAAGGAGAAAAAAGAAGGCCTCTTGGGCCCTTCCTGGCAATCTTTCTGCCCTTCCAGTCCATGGACGAGAACAGAACAAGCCAGTGTCTCCTCTCTGACCCACCTGGACAGGGAATCGGCCTAATCTCACCACACCGTGAAAGAAACTGCACAGTGGCCTCTGGGGTGACTCATGGCTACAGCTCTCAAGCATGGCACTGCCCTACGCTGCCCCTCACTCCCCAGATGCTGCTGAGCCGAGGCCACTCCTCTCCCATTGGCCTGTGAGCAGTAAAGCCCTGGTCACGGGACTTTGGTGATGGCATCTTTATTGTCCACATGCCTCACTGCCCCAGGCCACCACATGGTGCCTCCACTTTCACCTGCCACACATGCGTTCCTACCCATTTTCGTGCCACAGGCAGGTGGGTACATCTGGTATCCCATCTGCCTTGCACTGATGGTGAGCTTTTGAGAGACATTGTTTTGGTTAGCACCACCTTCCGGGACTCCAAACAGGACCTGAATACCACAGTTGCCCAGAAGATGTCATCAGCTCAGAGGAATTGCCAGTTATTGATGAAGACAAACCCTGTTCATACCCTCTTCACCACCTTTTTGGTTTTTTTTTTAATGGTAGAAAAATGTAGACTGGAGAGATAGTACAGTGAGTAGTGTGCTTGCCTTGCATGAGGCCATCCCTGGTTCGACTCCAGAACCACATATGGTCCCTAAGCCCGACCAAGATTGATCCCTGAGCACAGAGCCAGGAGTAAGCCCTGAACACAGCAGGTGGGGCCCCCAAAGCAAAACCAATTAATAAATACATAAAAATAGAAAATGGTTTTTTAAATAGTTAAGCAAGTAGCTTTTATAGAATTAACCGTATTTAGAAAGGTTGTGAGAGAAGAGGAAGTGGGTTTGAAATATGTGTTCAAGAGAGAACAAAAGCTTCTCCAGAGTGGAGATAAACAAGCAAAGAAACACAGAGGCAAGCAAGCAAGATGTGTGTTCAAGGGAGAACTCAGGCTTGAAGTCAGAAAATGCATTTTTAGAGAAATTACTCTTGAAGGAATTATGTGTTATGAGAAAAGAGAGTGCGTGTCTATGGCACTCCCCAGCGGGAAGTGTGTTAGGTAGCTGGTGGGATTCTTTGCAGACTCTTCCTGTGAGCACAATGTGGGTTTGTTTTATCATTTAACCTGAATGGCCTCCTGCTGCCAATACTGCTAGGTGGCCTGTGTTCTCCATGGCCTGCTAGAGCCTTCCTGCTGCTCGTATGCCAGCCTGCCCATTCCTTGGCCTTTGTTCCTTCTCTGAATGGGCCCAGAATCCACTGAGCCTGCTTTGCATGTGGGACATTTGGTTTGCAGCCAGCTTTTAGCTTTGAAGATGCCACTGTGTTTATTCCTGAAGCTATGACTCTTTCGCTCTCAGCATCCCCTGAGATGGCCTCACTGAGGCTTTCTTCTGTACAACTGGACATGTGTGTTTATGTGCTCTGGGAGGGTGGGCTTATCTGCATCAGGGGTGCATTAGGACCGGAAACAGCACAAAACAGCAAAGGTCACCACAAGGGCCAGCTCCCCATGGCTCCTTCCCCTCAGCCCCGCCAGTCCCAGGACCTGAGCAAGGGAGTGTGCAATAACGATGTTCTGCTTCTACTCGCTTGAGCTAGGATCTCATTCTCCCCACCCCCCTCCCAGCCCTCTGTGAATGACCCCTTATTAAAATGTCCTTGTGTCACCCACAGTGTGATCAATTGACTCCATTCAAATCACTTTTCTCTGCATCCTGATAGACTCAGACATCCTCTTCAAGCACCTCGAGTCCCAGCCTTACTTGTCTGGGGTAGAGACACTCTCCACGGCCTGGTGCTGTGGGCCTAAGCTTCTTTGCCCTGAGCCACAGCTTTTCTCTTTTCTTGTAACCGTCAGCACACAATTCCTTCAAGAGGCACCAAGGGACTGCATGCAACCCATTTCTGTCTCTGAGCATTTCTACCAGTTAGCTTTCCCCCTCCTTCCCAGTCTCTGTCCTGCACTCCCACTCTTGTCCAGGCACTCAAAGCTGCCCACTTCACAGACCCCCATACTCAGTTTCATCTACTAATCCAGAGAGACTCAGTAGTCTTGGTAGACAGAGGTGCTGGCCTCCTGTGCCCAAGTACTCTGGCCTCCCTGCTCCAAGGTGACCTTATCGAGGTCCTCCGTAACTTGTAGCATCGTTACCACTGGCTGTGTTTGTACATCTGGGCTTTCTCCCCTTCCCATCCGTGCAACTCCAATGGCCGAGGCACTGACTTTTTCACTTCCCCTCTCTCCTATTCCTGGTCCCTCCTCTGCCTCTCCCCTGCCATGAAGGCAACTGTGTCCTTGGACTCTGTTTCCTCCATAGGTGTGTCTCTGACTCGAGGCAGCCCCAAAAGGTGTTCATGCCCAGTCCCAAACATGCCCAGCCCTCTTGCGGGAACCCCAGCAGGGCCAGAAAAGTAATGAAGCCCTGGCACTTGCTGTCACGCCAATCCCTGGAGCCTTCCTAGGTTCTGTCAGGCCTACCCTGTCTCCGCAGTCATGTGCAAGGTTCTGCCGTGATACCAAGTAGGGCACTTTTTTTTATACAGATTTACACACTTAAGTGATTACGTTTCAGTCATACAACAGTCGAGTACCCATTCCTCCACTAGTGCCCATTCTCCACCACCAATGTTCCCAGTATCCCTCCCGCCACCCCCATCCCATCCCCCCGCCCCCATCTCTGTGGCAGGCACATTCCCTTTTAATCTCTCCTTTTGGGTGTTGTGATTTGCAATATAGATATTAAGTGGCTATCATGTTCAGTCTATAGTCTACTTTCAGCACACGTCTCCCATCCTGAGCGAGCCCTCCAAGCATCATTTACTTGGTGGTCCCTTCTCTATCTCAGCTGCCTTTTCCCCCAGCACGTGAGGTCGGCTTCCAAAGCCATAGAGGAATCTTCCTGGTCCTTATCTCTACTATCCTTGGGTGTTAGTCTCCCATTCTGTTACTTCGTATTCCACAAATGAGTGCAGTACTTCTATGTCTGTTCAAGTAGGGCACTTGCCCTGCCTCCTCAATCACGTGCCCCAATGATGACCGCCACAGGAGGGACCCAGGGTGTCCCAAGCCTGCGGACCTGTGTCACCTAAGATCTAGGCCAATGACACAGAGGATCAGTTACAATCACTCTTCACTTGTCACACAAGTAAGAACTGGTGAACTGGAAGGGACCCAGGGAGATAGGTCACTTCGGACCATGGCAGTGGTGACACAACACAGCAACTGAGTTGGCCCAGGGTAGGGACAGGGATCAGAGAAAACAGGAAACAGCAGAGTATGCAGAAGAGGAAGCACAAAGCTCCAGAAAGGGCCTCCTCTTCTGGTGGTGGTGGTGATGGGGGGAATGAATAGTTCTGGAGAACGGGGGTGAAGGGGATGGTTCCAGGGCACACTGCCCTGAGCTGACACACCTTCCTGCTGGCTCTCTGGCACCTCTGCCATCTGCTATGGCCTCCCAATGTCACCTCCCATATGTCAGACCTTCCCCGGAGGAAATCTGATCAGCAGACGGCAAGTTGGGCTGTCACACCACCTCCTTCCAGGTGACACAGATCCTTCCCACCCTCTTGCCCACAGAACTCCCTCCGTGTGGGACCAGCAGCCACCTGACTGAGTCTGGGGGTGGGCGCCCCCTTCCCAAGCTGCTTGTTCCACACACAGTCGTCCTGGACGTGGTGGTGGTAGTGGTGGAGTTGGGGGAGAGGGGTGCTGGGAAGCAAAATGAGCCCTGAGGCTCCCCCACCCCCTGACCACTGGACACTGACTGCCCAGACCTTCAGAAACAGGCTCAGTTTCTCTCATCTTCCCCCTGCCCTTCTTGGTGAAAGCTGGAAATGCAGCCAACACACTGGGAATGAGCACGCTCAACAGGCTCATCCTCAATTGATTTTGCAGAAGCTTGGTGATTGATGACTGGCGGAGGCCTGGGAGGCAAAGCCCGTGCCCTCAATCATTTGAAGCCTTGGTCAATCCTTATTCCCCACTCTGGGCTAGGGTGCGGGATCCTGGAGAAGGTGCCTGGCCAGCCTTGCCCAGCACAGAGCGGACAGGAGGGATTGAAAGACTGCCCTATTGATCGCTTGCATTTTCTGATATTGCCTGAAGTTCCCTGGGGCTGACAAATGACAGATGGGGGATGGGTCACGTGAAGGGAATCCTTCTCTGCCCTACAAAGTGGGTGGAGGTGGGGGTACTGAGAGCTGAGAAGCAGCAAGAGAAGACCCAGACTTTTTTTTTTTTAATGGCCTCAAGCAGGTAGAAAGTGCTACAGTCTTTCTGCTGGGGGGAAATTCCAGCCTAATGGTGTGGCACCAATTTGGCACTTTGGAGGTTGAACCCTCAATGAGTCTGAACATCTACTGCTCTGGGATTGGCACTGACGATTCCTTTCCCAGGCTAGAAGAGGGTTGGAAGCAAAGAGGTCACGTGAGTAGGAATTCTAACACCACAAAGGGCCCCTGGCTCACTGGGAGGATGGGAGCCCTGAAGATATGACTTTCACAAGCAGGGCCGCTGTGCCCGCCCTTAAG